GCTGTTTTCCTCATGTGTGAGCAGAAGGATCAAAGGTATTTTGAGGCCAGGCGCGGTGGCTCACGCCTGTAATCCTAGCACTCTGGGAGGCCGAGGCGGGCGGATTGCTCAAGGTCAGGAGTTCAAAACCAGCCTGAGCAAGAGCGAGACCCCATCTCTACTATAAATAGAAAGAATTAACTGGCCAACTAATAAATATAGAAAAAATTAGCCGGGCATGGTGGCACATGCCTGTAGTCCCAGCTACTCGGGAGGCTGAGGCAGGAGGATCACTTGAGCCCAGGAGTCTGAGGTTGCTGTGAGCTAGGCTGACGCCACGGCACTCACTCTAGCCTGGGCAACAAAGTGAGACTCTGTCTCAAAAAAAAAAAAGTATTTTGAAACAAGAATCATTTGGGAGACAAACAGGAATATTACTAAAGCTATTTGGAAAATGCATTTTCTGAAATCTTTTACTTTTTCTGAAAGTATAGATTTGTGATAGAGTAGTTTCAGATTTTCAGGAGACTCTACAATCATATCCCTGTAAAATGAATGGAGATAATGTTCTGTTTTAAAAGAGTCTTAATTCTCAGAGGTATACTGTCTAAGCAATGTAAATTTCCAAGAAGTTTAGAAATAAAGCATATTGCCTTCCTCCCAGTTCCTCCTGAGAAATTCTTGCATATTCCGCAGTCTGCTGAGTAGTGTTCAGAAATAGGCTGCTGGACACATTTCTTCTTTTCTGGTAAAACACCAACATACCATAGATACTTACATCTAAGAGGTACTTACATCTAAGGGGTGCCAATTTGACATTTTACAATGCTGGAAATTTTTTGTTTTGGATGGTTTTTAGCATTGGAAATTTGAAACTGAAGTCTAAACTATTTTCTGAGTGGAAGCCACGTGGTCCCAGCCAGAGTAGGACGAGGCCTCTTTGTATTTTGTTGCTCGTTGAACTGTCTGAGGCCTATAAAGAGGAAGCACTTGGAATATTTTTCTTAAATGTGGTGTGTTTATTATATGTTACTTCTCTCTAATAATATTTTATAGCCTACTTCATTTTAAAAACCTGCTTATGAAAACATTTGGAATAGCAGCGTCTGTCTAACTTCTGGGAATTGGAAAAGGAAAGCAAATTAGAAAAGGAAAGCAATTTCCAGTGTGTCTGCCTCCCCCCCCAGCAATATTTTCTTCCTTCTCTCACAGGTATGGGCACTCTGGCCATTTTCTGTGGGTCAGTATAATCACACTGTCAGCAGCTGGGGTTCCTTTCTTCTGGAACTGCTTCTCCTACAGAGACTGTGTTCAGAGTGTTCAGATGCGGGCCCTCGAGGATGGCCAGCCAGTGTCTTCCCCTTCTGCCTCGCCAGACAGCACCAGACAGTCCCTTCCCGGAGGGGGAGGGCAGGGGGAAGGAGGTCAGGGAAAGGAACAGACTGGAGCAGGCAGCAGGAGACTGGGAGGTGGAAAGTTAAACAAACAGGGAAATACATGTCTGACCAGTTTCTTGTTGCTTTCTTAAGCAGCTGTTTACCTTGAACAGTGAGGTATGCTGAACTTTCCACAGAGCCCTTCTGGTTGGTGGCTTTGCAGTGATAGACGCCTTCATCCTCTTCTGTGACTCTTTCAATAAATAGCGTGCTGCTTCCTGGTCCTAAAATAATTCCTGAGGAGTGAGATGTTTAGATTAGTGGGCCTGGGTGACAAACAAAAACAGCTACTTCTGTAACACAAGCATTCTGCATTCAGACAAGGAAATCCGAGCTTTAGTTAACCTGGGTCAGGGCTGCTTATTTGTTTGCTCCTGGTCCAGGCTTTCTAACAGCACCTTTGCCACCCAGCAGAGCTGTGACCCCAGCTTGGAGACACAGAGCCACTCACTGTGAAGAAAGGAATGAGAGGGAGCGGCCACACCCCAGTTGCAAGTTGTAGGTACCAAGAGGGTAGCATAGCTAATAATAACAGCTGCCATTACTTGATGGCCACTGTCTGCTAGGCACCACGTGACACACTAGTCATATCTTGACATTTACAGCCACCCTGGCAAGGTAATATTGTCTCCCTTTTACAAATGAGGAAACTGAGATTCCGCAAGGTCAAACTGCTCAATAATAAGGAAACAACTCTATTTAACTTGACCAATTTGCAATTTGACTGAATGTACATTTGTGGAATATGGGCCAAAGGAAATTATGTTTCATCTGTTATGTGGCCTGGTGAGGCAGTATGGCACAGTGGGGACAAGGAGGTAGGGCTGTTTTAATCTGTGCCTTACTTACCACTTTAAGCTTTGTCACTTTAGGCAAGTGACTTAACCTTCCTAAGTTTCACTTTCCTCTATTTTGAAAATGAAAGCAGTTTTATAAGTGAAAAAATAAATGGCAAGCGCATGGGACTTGGTAAGTGCTCCATAAACACAAGCTCAAGTATTGCTACAGAGCATGGGATGATGGAAGGAGCCCCATGGATTTTCAGACCCCTGAAAAGTTTCAAGACCTAGTAGCTTCAACACCTACTACTATCACCAAGTATTTATTGAGTATTTACTCTGGCATCAGTCTGTAATACAGATAGCAGGCCAAGACCTGGGCAAGCTAGGACATAGTATCTGCTGAAGAGAGAAAATTAATTCATACCAAACACACATATATACATTCTCTCTCTCATACACACACACAACACTCACACACATACCTGCAAACAGAAAATGTTAATGGATGAGAATGAATAATGCAGCACAGTATACTCAATTAAGTACAAAGCCTGGTGCAGGGAAGGAGATCAGTAAGGAAGGGGTACTCTGGGAAGGCTGCATAGAAGAGGTGGCCTTTGAGCAGAGGTTTGAAGGATTATCAAAGGTTAAAGTGAGAAAGAAGGCATGAGAAAAGGCATGATGTGGAAATGAATATGCATTGAGTACTTATTCTGGAATAGTGATCAAGTAGGCCTGACCAGACCATAGGCCATATTTTATTAGTTTAACTAGTTTATATTTCCCTTTATTATAAAAGATATACTCAATATAGAAAACTCGAGAAGTATTTGAAAGCGTAAAACATTTAATATTACAAAGTTATAGTAATCAAAACAGCATAGTACTAGTATAAAAACAGACACATCAGCCAATGGAATAGGATAGAGAGGCCGGAAATAAACCCAAATATCTACAGTCAATTGATTTTCAACAAGGTGCCAAGAACACACAATGAGGAAAGGACAGTCTCTTCAATAAATGATGTTGAGAAAACTGGATATCCACATATGGAAGAATGAATATGGACCCTTATCTCAGTCCTTATACAAAGATCAACTCAACATGGATTAAAGACTTGGTAAGATCTGAAACTGTAAAACTACTAGAAGAAAATGTAGAGGAAAACTCTGTGACATAGGTTTGGGCAGAGATTTCTTGGATATGACACCAAAAGTACAGGCAATGAAAGAAAAAATAGACAAATGGGATTGCAATAAACTAAAAAGCTTCTGCACAGCAAAGGAAATAATTAACAGAGTAAAGAGACAACCCACAGATTGGGAGAAAATATTTGCAAATCATATATCAGATAAAGGGCCAATATCCAAAATATACAAGAAACTCAAACTCTCAATAATACGAAAACAACCCTATTTAAAAATGGCCAAAGGAATTGAACAGACATTTCTTAAAAGAAGACATACAAATGGACAACAGATAATATGAAAAAAATGCTCAATATTTCTAATCATCAAAGAAATGCAAATGAAAACCAAGTAAGATATATCAACAGAGTAGAGCCAGCTTAAAAAAAATATCCAAATGAGATAGCACTTCACGTTTTTGTTAGATTATCTATTATCAAAAAAGATGAAATATAACAAGTGTTGCTGAGGATGTGGAGAAGAGGGAACCATCATACGCTGTTGGTGGTATTGTAAATTAGTGCAGGCATTTTGGAAAGCAGCATGGAGATTTCTCCAACTAAAAATAGCATTACCATATGATCTAGTAATCCTGCTACTGAGTAGATACCCAAAGGAATTGAAATCAGTATGCCAAAGAGATGTCTGCACTCCCGTGTTCACTGTAGCATTATTCATGATAGTCACGTAAGTGTCCATCAATAGATGAATAGATTTAAAAAATGTAGCATATATTTTATATACACAATGGGATACTATTCAGCCTCAAAAAAACAGGAAATTCTGTCATCGACAACAACATGGATGAACCTAGAGGACATTATGTTAAGTGAAATAAGCCAGACACAGAAAGACAAATACCGCATGATCTCACTTATATGTGCAATATAAAAAAGTCAAACTCATAGAAGCAGAGAGTGGAATAGTGATTACCACAGGCTGGGGAGGGGGAGGTGGACAGGGAAAGGAGAGACCTTGGTTATGGGTACAAAGTTATGCTTAGATAGGAGGAATATATTCTGGTGTTCTATTACACAGCAAAGTGTAGTTTAATGTATATTTCAAAATAGCTAAAAGAAAGGATTTTAAAGTTCTCACCGTGAAGAAATGACATTTGAGGCGATGGTTATGCTAATTAGGCCGATTTGATCATTCCATATTGTATACATGTATTGAAACATCATATTGTACCCCATCAGTATATACAATTATTTGTCAATTTAGAGAAATATAAAAAACCTACAAACTACAAACTCCTACAATCTTACCTCTCCGATGTTCTTCCTTTGGTATATTTATTTATTTATTTATTTATTTTTGAGACAGGGTTTGGCTCTGTCGCCCAGGCTAGAATGCAGTGGCATCATCATAGCTCACAGCAACCTCAAACTCCTGGGCTCAAGCAGATCCTCCTTCGTCAGTCTCCTGAGTAGCTGGGACTATAGGTGTGCACCACCACACCCAGCTAATTTTTCTATTTTTTGTAAAGATGAGGTCTTGCTCTTGCTCAAGCTAGTCTCAAACTCCTGGCCTCAGCTTCCCAAAGTACTAGGATTACAGGCATGAGCCACCGTGCCTGGCCTGCTTTTTCTTATTTAGGTTTTTAATCTATCTGAATTTTCTTTGGGGAAGGGATATGTGTATGGTATGAGGTAAGGATCTAATTTTTACCATATACACAGCCAATTATCCCAGCATCATTTATTGAATAATCTGTTCTTTTCCCACTGAGTTGTGGTGCCAGCTCCGTCAGATACTAAGTTTCCATATATTTATTTGTGGTTCTGTTTCTAGGCTGTGCATTTGTTCACAAAGACCTCTATTTATCTATCCCTGTACCACAACTTTTAAATTATGATGGCCTGATAATATATCTTGATATCTGGTGTGGCCTGACCACATCTTTTTCAAAATGGTCTTGACTGTTATTGGCCCTTTATGCCTTAATATGAATTTCAGGTTCAGCTTGTCAAATGCTGTAAAAAATACTATTGGGATTTTGAGTGGAATTCTACTGAATTTATATAATAATTTAGGGGAAACTGTCATATTTGCTTTTGGATTGAATAATATGAAATTGTCAGTATTTCAGCCTACAAAAATGGCAATATGGTTCTACCTAATAATAAATGTTCTGTCTAAGAATGTCAAGTATCTTTGAGTTATTTAGGTCTTCTATAGCATTTAATAGTTTTATGATTTCTCATTAAATATCTTGCTTATCTTTAATTATATTTATTCCTAGATATGTTGTAATTTTTGTTGTTATGTAAAATGTTACAGGGTTCTCTGAAGGGTCACTCTATCTGAGTTTTCTCTTTCTTTGGATATTAGACATTAGAACTAATATGAAGAACTTTGTGTTGCTGAGATACTTTAATTGTAGGCCTGCTTGCTTCTAAAGGGATAGCCTAATTCATTTCCACGTGCTTATTTGGGTCTCTCCCTGGCTTCTGACACTGCATACAGATTCTTCAACTGCTAAAAACATAATTCCTATGGAAACTCATCATTTATTTCTCTTTAACATAAGACGCTATATCAGATTGAACCAAATAGGCATAGATCAGAACTTGCAAAGATAGATGGCTTCTGGGGCTGGGCACGTAACACAAATGAGTTGAGGGTGAGATAATGCGAGGGGGACTGTGACTATGGAGCATAGAAAGCCTCTCTCCGTCTAAAATTGGAAGCCTCTACTTAGCTTGGGAATTTGGATATTTGAGTCCAGTATTGTCTTCTGAGTTTTAGAGAGAAGGCAGAAATATGAATTTTTTATGCTAAACCTCATGATTTTTAAATATTGGAACAAGATCAACTTATATACACTAACTGTGAGGGGCAATAAAAACATGTCATGTATGCTGCATAGATTAGACACAACTTTGACTTAGGGGATGTACATAGGGATACGCTTTTATATTTTTATTAAGCAAGGACCTTCGTGATCTGGCCCCTCCCCATCCCCCCAGCTTCTGTGCCTATTATATCCCTAAATGTGTCCTTGATATGAGCCATGCCGATCTATTCACAGTTCATGTTAAGGCTCAGGGACTTTGCACATATTCCCTTGGCACATGGTTAACATTTACTTGTCCTTTAATATTCAGCTGAAGGATTAGCTGTTCTGGAAAGCATTTTCTGATTCTCTTAGATCTCTTCTCTGTTACTCCCATATTACCCTGTGCATGCCTCTAACCTGGTACTTACCATTTTGTAGCAACTTTCTTATCTGCCCTCTGCACTGTGGGCTCCCGGAGAATGCTAACTCTGCCTAATTCATCACTGAGTCCTCAGTGTCTAGTGCTGTGATGACAGACAGCTGATCTTCAGTAAATGAGAAAATGACCAAATAAATGAAGACAAAGGAAAATGGAATAGAGGAAGTGAAGTAGGGGAGTGAGCTTCGCAATACCTGCTGAATATTGTGAAGCTAAGCTTGTCATTAATGCTAACTCTCTATGTGGTAATATTGACTGATGACCTGTAGCATGTCCAGCTCTCCTCAGAATTTATAAAATTGCATGTGAGTTAATTTTGTCTTCTTAAGGTTCTAAAAGTCCCAGTTCCTGGAGCTTAGAAATGTAGTAAACTCAGGTGGTTTCATGGGCTTACTAAGACAGTAGCCCCAAAGGGATAAGTAAAAATTTACACTGGGCTATATTTTAGGAACCTGTCATGTACTCCATAGTATGTGATGATGAGACTCAGTGCAAGGACCTGAATTACCTACTGGGTTGGTTGCTAATGGGGGTTGTGGGATCAGTTTGTGACTTTGTTTGGTCTATACATGTATCCCTGGGATGTAGTCTAAATTTTCAATGTGTCCAACCCTTTTAATTGTCCAGGAACTTTGAAAAAAATTTTATTTCTTTCCATTATACCTTGAGGTGAAGGACAGTCTTGGCATTTTACATATGAGCACCATATTACCCAGGGAAGATCATGGAATATAATTTTAATCCAATTTAGCATTAAGTAAATAAATCTGTAGAGCTTTTCAATTCCCCTATTTGATTAAATAAATGTACATCAAGTGTTTACCTCCTGTTCCTTAATACACACAAAGAATGACTTGTCACTTTCCTAAATTGGCCTACTTAGTATGATCAGTGACTCCTGTTTTATTGCTCTGTTGACCACCTGTACTTCTGACTCAGAGAAACTTATGTCTATCCAATTTGGCCAAACTAATCTTCATCATCAAAACTGTCTTTGTTAGTCATCAAAGTCCAATTCAGATGTCATCTCTCTCATGAAACCTCCCCTGATCAGCCATCAGGAGTGCCAATTTGTATCTGATGGATTTTTATACCACTCACCATTGCACATTTATGAATTGACTTTGTTTGTACCTTTTATGTGTACATTTTTCAAAGGTAAGGACTAAATGTTGCTTATTTTCATTTTCTCTAGAATATAACAAAGTGTCTGGCTCAGGGTAGGTAATTAATATATGTTATTAAATTTAGTAAGATAAGAGTGAATTTTGTTTGTTATTGTTATGATAGTCTTAAATTTCCAACTCAATAAGTTCTTTGAAGTTGGCACATAATATGTTTTCAATAAATGGTAGTTATGCTAATGATCATGATGTATACAGTTCTAGTACACAGTAGATAATTTTATTTTTAGGTTGGTAGCTGTGAAAGGAATTGATTAGCTAAGAACTATATCTGAACTAAGGACCAGAAGATCATAATATAGATTCAAGATGGCTAAAAAAACTAGAGGCAGGAAAGCTAGAGGCAGGATGTCTCATTTACCCCCCACAAAGGAGATTTTATATATTCAGTCAAACTTTGGGGTTTGGAAAATTATGTCTGGGGAAAAAAATCCAAGTTTAGTAAAATGGCAAAGGCTGACAAAATGGGAAAATGAATAATGATGGACCCGTTAAATGACACTAAAAAGATGAATGATTCCAATGCTTCCAAAGAAGTCACTATGGCTTCTTCCTTTCTTATTGAGAATTTCACCCTAAGATCAAGTCTCATCGGGAAGCATTTGTGAATGTAAGAAACAAAGTTGGTGAAGTGTGGGATAATTTGAGACATAGTGAAAAGCAGCCTTACCATAATAATGTGTTAGCTGGAAGAGAATTATGAGGATGTTGCAAAACATATGGTCTAAAGGAGACTTGATGGGCAGTGTGATCCCTGATAAGCCTATTTGCTCTTTAGCTATGAAAAAGATAGAGAAAGAAGAGGAACACTTAGAAAAGAAAAAGATGGAAGACAGTGATGAAAAAAAGCTGTATAATCTTCCTCTCCCTATAACCTCTGAATAAGGAAAGTGCCATAAACCAAGGTCCTTTCATTTAGGATAATGTCTATTGCTTCACTAATTTAAGTTACACAAATGAGTTATGATAACAGTATAGTTTCCAAAAGCTTTCATGAAATTATAAACTGATTGACTGGAAGAGGTTCTGCTTGACGTGAGCCCCTTGAAACTGTGCCAGAAACATACATAGTTCTAAACATATAAAAATGAAAGCATTTTTGTGCCCTTTCACTATGAAGTTTGCTCTGGTTCTGATAAAGTATTTCAGGATAATTCAGGCACTTGAAATGTATCAAGTGGTGCTAACTCTATGGTTATTGGCTATAAAACCTTAGCTATTGGCCAGGTGTGGTAGCTCACATCTGTAATCCCAGCACTTTGGGAGACTGAGATGGGAGGATTGCTTGAAGGCAGGAGTTTGAGACCAGCCTGGGCAACACAGTGAGACCCTGTCTTTCCAAAAAATAAAAGAATTAGCTGAGTGTAGTGTCACATGCCTATAGTTTTAGCTAGTTGGGAAGTTGAGGCAGGAGGATAAGTTGAGCCTAGGAGTTGGAGGTTGCAGTGAACTATGATCATGCTACTGCACTCCAGCCTGGGCAACTGTGTGATACCCTGTCTTAAACAAGCAAACAAGGTCGGGCGCTGTGGCTCACACCTTATAATCCTAGCACTCTGGGAGGCCGAGGCGGGAGGATCACTTGAGCTCAGGAGTTGGAAACCAGCCTGAGCAAGAGGGAGACTCTGTCTCTACTATAAATAGAAAGGTATTAGCCAAACAATTAGAAATAGAAAAAATTATCTGGGCATGGTGGCGCATGCCTGTAGCCTCAGCTACCAGGGAGGCTGAGGCAGGAGGATTGCTTGAGCCCAGGAGTTTGAGGTTGCTGTGAGCTCAGCTGATGCCGTGGCACTCTAGCTCAGGCAACAGAGCGAGATTCTGTCTCAAAAAACAAACAAACAAAAAAACCAAGCAAACAAATAAACAAAAACCCCTTAGGTATCAATTAGGTATATTTATAAATTGTGAACACATACATGCGTGGACACACCTACATGTCACACACATATGCACACACCCTTGCCCCGAAAAATTCTTGTGGTATGTTCTGATTTGCTATAGCCTGTCTGCAAAGTTAGATCCATTCATACTGCAGGATATAAACATTCATCTATAGTGGCCTTTCTGTGTATGATGAAGTAGCAATTCTAATTTTAAGACAGGGAAATACTGTTGCACTATATAAGAGGTTAAAGTCAAAAAAGTGTTTCTCTATCGCTAGAGGAATAATTAAATCATTTATGGAATATATATCATATTACTGTGTATGGCTACTAAAAAGAATGAGGTAGAACAATATGTATTGACATAGAAAGACCTCCAAGACATAATTCAGAAATGATAAAGGCAAATCATAAAATAATACATATTGTATGATTTTAACTCAAACTTTGTCTCAGAGATGCTGGCTTTCCCATACAAGCCCACTACCAGTCATTCACTATAATCAATTATCTTATTTTATTTTCATCACAGCAGTTAATATTATCTGATTGTATACTTTATACTTATACAGTAGTCCCCCCTTATCCATGGTTTCAGTTTACTGCAGTACAAAGATATTAAATGGGAAATTAATTCATAAGCTTTAATTGCACCCCATTCTGAATGTTGTGATGAAATCTTGCATTGTCCCACTTTCCCACAGGAGATGAACCCTCCCTTTGTCCAGTAGATCCATGCTGTAGATGCTACCCACCCATGAGTCACTTAGGAGCTGGCCTGGTTACAGATTGACTGTGGCGTATCACAGTACTTGTGTTCTAGAATCCCTTATTTGAGTTAATAATGGTCCCAAAGCACAGGAGTAGTGATGCTAGCAATTAGGACTTGCCAGAGAGAAGCCATAGAGTGCCTCCTCGAAGTGAAAAGGTGAAAGTTCTCAATGTAATAAGCAAAGAAAAAATCCTATGCTGACGTTGCTAAGATCTACAGTAAGAATAAATCTTCCATCTGTGAAATTGTGAAGAAGGAAAAGGAAATCTGTGCTAGTTCTACTGCCACACCTCCATCTGTAAAAGTTACCTGTGATAAGTGTTCAGTTAAGATGGAAAAGGCATTAAATTTGTGGGTGGACAACATGAACAGAATTGTTTTCCAATGGATGGCAATTGGGTTTGGTGTTATCTGCAGTTTCAGGCATTCACTGGGGGTCTTGGAATGTATCTCCCATGGGTAAGGGATTATAGGGGTTTTTTTTGTTGTTGTTAAATGTATTGTCTGTATTTTAGAATGTAAATTTCAAGGTCCCCTTCTTGTTCCCAGCACCAAGTATATGCCTGTCACAGAGTTGGGTCTCAGTGAATATCTATCGAATGAATGAATGATTGAATCCCATTCGTATGTTTAAAAAGTCGCACATTTGTATATATGCACAGATATAGGTAAAACATGGAAACATCACTGACAAGATACATATCAAACAGTTAACATGTGCTGATTCTCCATAAGGGAAATTTTTCTGGTTTATTCTATTTCTGTACTTTGTGAATCTTTCACAGTAAAAATGAATTCAAGTATTACTTGTTTAATTAAAATGAATAAAATAATACTTTTAAAAACAAAACTGTAGGCCTCTTTACCATCAGCAAAGAGACACTGAGTGAAAGCTTAAAAGCTATATAGATCCAAATACTTAAACATCTGCAAAACTTTGTAGTAGTGACTATGCATAGAATGAGCAAATGTTTTTGAAGCAAGAAAAGTAGATTTAGACTTTCTGGCAATTTGCAATTATAGATTGAAGCAATAAAAGGACAAACAAAACCCATTCCATCAGAAGACTGGCCCCTGTGAGGTAGGAGTGTGTGTGTACATGATATAGAATGTATTTTCTGCATTTCAGTTTGTTTCTCAATGATGACCAACTTGAATGAGATGGCTACTTAAACTAAGATACAATCTTGATTGTTTAAGGCTCCTTGATAGCAGGCGATTATGTAAAAATCAAGTTTATCATTTCATTGTGGGGGAGTGGACTTTCTTGATTTGACTTTTTCAGCAGACATTTAGAGTAATGCAAATGATGGGCTGAGTCCACTGAACAGGGTGTCTGAGAATATATTTGTTTGTGTATTTTCCTTAATTGAATTGGGCATAGTAGTGACCCCGGTTGTATGGCTGTGTATGTGTCACTTTAGGTCCTGATTAAACTGTTTTCAAGCTTGTGCTCAGGAGAAGAGATTTCCATGCAAATTCTGATCATATGAAATAGAAAAAGGTCATTTAATTATTTTGCTAAAAGATGGAGGAGAAAGTATATCTAAGGTAGTGTATGAGTTTTCCTTCTTTAGTTATCCAACCTTCAGTGTGAGGAAGAATTTGTAGGTTGGGGATTGAGACCCAATTTTAGGTACCCAGACAGTGGCTCTTAGTTCTGGGGTTGGTGTTTCTGCACAGTGTACAGTCCCTGAAAGATCCATGGGATGACTGCTAGGAAAGTATACCATCCCCACCCTTATATCCCCAAATTGCTTTATTTCTCTTTTCTTTGATTTTCTTCATTCCCCATTTCTTTTTTCAGCCATTGGTCCCTCAAACATTGACTGCCCTTCAGAAAATAAGCTGCTGATCTTGGCCATGCTCAAAGAACAGTTCCCTGTGTTGCAAGAGGTCATAGAAAAAATCAAAAAAGGAGGTTAATTCATAGTCAAAAAGGAGAAGCTTCAATGAGTATGGGAATTTTGTTTGGGGTTATGAGAAAGTTCTGTAACTAGATAGTGGTGATGGTTGTGCAACATTGGGAATGTACTTAGTGCCACTGAATTATACACTTTAAAATGGTTAAAATTATAAAATTTACCTGTATTTTGCTACAATTAAAAAAAAAGTAGAGGCTTTGGCTAAAGTGATGCTCACATTTGCAAATTTTCTAAATTTTTCATTTAAAGATTCAAGAGGACTTAAAACACACACACATACACACACACATTCTCAAACAACTAGCAGGGTCCTGTTATTCATATGAATAGATGTTAGGGCTGCCTGATGTGTAATCCCTCATTTGGGTCTTGCTGTGGCCAGCAGCTTTCT